AAATAAATAAATAAATAAATAAAACTGGAAGGGGTCTTCAAGAACATTTTCCCAAAAAGGAAACCGGTCCAGGGAGCTAGAGTGACCGGGTCAAGGTGACAGCGCCACCAACACCAGGTTCCGGGGAGCTTGCCCTTTGCTTTTGAACATCACAGCAAGTCCCAGAGCGTCGGGAGAGAAAAGTCGGCCACGCGCCCATCTGACGGGTAGAGCGCCCAGGGGGCCAGAGGGTCTAGCAGCCCCGACTCCCGGGCCATCACTGTTCACCAGGGCGTGGTTTGGGGTGGGGGGGTCCCCGGTGGAGGGGAAGGGCTGCAGCGGGGAGGTGGGGGGGGGCAGGGCAGGGGGGGCGGCGGGGCATGCACCTTTTCCACGCCGCCCGCCGCCACCACGTGGTTGTCCTTCACCATCACCAGTCCTCCCAGGTCGTAGCGGTGAGCGGCGGCCCCGCCCACCAGGAGCCCGTACTTCTCAGCCAGCCGGAAGCCGGGCGTGGTCTTCCTCGTGCCCGCCACGTGCCCGGCCCAGCCCGCCTCCCGGGCGGCCTCCACGGCGGCGGCGGCGGCGCTGGCCACCCCACTGCAGCGGGCCAGTGTGTTCAGGGCCACCCGCTCCCCCAGCAGCAGGCAGTGCGCGGGGCCCCGGACCTCGGCCACCCTGGCCACGGGCACCAGCTTTGCGCCCTCGGGGAGGAACCAGGAGACCTGGCAGTTGACTTTGGCAAAGATGGCATCGAAGAAGGGCCTCCCAGCCAGTACCCCGGGGGACTTGGCCCACAGCACCGCCTGCGAGGGGGCTGCGCCCGTGACCAAGGCTGCGTGGTTGGGACCGGGGCAGTCCTCTCGGAGCCAGCTCTCTGCCAGGGCGGCCAGAGTGGCGGGGGGCAGCAGCAGCGCCAGACCTGGGAGGGAAAGACGGACAAGGGGGTTACCTCTTGGCTGCCTCCCTGGGAGTCACGGGTGCTTGTCAAAACATTTAAGCACCAGCGATACTGGAGGCTAGCCAATCAGGGCGAAGATCTGGGGATCCTGGGAGAGGGCCCTGTGGGCTGGACAAGAATGTCAGGTTAAGCAAATAAAAACACAGGACCCCTCGTTAGATCTAAATTTCTGACAAACATCAAAGGTTTGTTTCAAGTATAAATATATCCCGGGTGATAGTTAGAACATACTGACACTTAAAAATCATCTGTTGATTATCCGAAATTCAGATTTAACTGAGTGGCCTCCATTCTGTGGCAAACCTAGTGCCCGATCAACAGCTCCTGACCAACCAGAGAAGGCCCTGGAAAGCCGTCTGCTGCCTTTGCAGCCGCCCCGGGCGGGATGTGTGTCTGCCCCACGGCTGCCGTATTTCACCGCGGGAAGGCCAGCTCTTTACAGATGTGGAGACTGAGTAAAGGCAAGTCGGCCGAGGTCATACAGCAAACTGGCAGCAGAGTCCGACCGGCCAGGCCTCGTGGTCACGGCCGCCTGTTCTTCTGCCTTTGCACCTCTTGCTTGGAGCAACCCCCCCCCCCGCCACACACACACACACACACACACACACACACACACGCACGCGCGCACGCGCGCGCACGCGCCTGATGTCTCAACGAACTGTCCTCTCTCTAGAGATGCGGGCTGTACAAGGAAGGTGCAGGAGTAAGTTGGGCTTGAGCCCTTGCTCTGTGAGGCACAGCTTCAGGAGTGTAAGCGAGTCCTTTCCCCGTAAAAAAAAAAAAAAAAAAAAAAAAAATAGTTGTGCACATGGTGGTCCTTCCTGCCCGCGTCTGGCTGCTAACCCGCCCCTGAGGTCCGTGGAGCGAACCGGTGAGCTCAGGCACGGTGCAACATCGCCATCTGTCGGCCAGGAGAAGGCCTGCAGCCTCATGTGCTCGAGCCCTGGACGGACATTGGATGGCATGTTAGGGGGTTTATTTTGCTTCCTCACTTTTGCTCCAAGTTGAAGTTAAGACCAGGCGTTCTGGCTTGCTGTACTCTCAGAACAAGGCCCTTCTTGCCCACCCTTTCTTCCCCAAAGCCAAGCACCCAGTATTCATCTCCCCATCCCCCACCCTCACTGACGGTACCTGGCCCTCCTTTTCCACATTCTGCTCCAAGTGGCTTCCATTCCTCACTCAGAGCCAGCTGTGCCCTGGCTGGATGCTGGGAATAGTCAGTAAAGGTGACAAAGACACAGTTCCCATCTCCACTGTTCACCAGCCAGGCAGGCAAAAGGCCCGTGGACATACAGCAGAGATGCAGAAGCTCACACTCCATCCACACCAGGTGCAGGGATGTTTGCCTTTTTTTTTTTTTAAGATTTTTTTTTAAAGATTTTATTTATTTGAGAGAGAGAGAATGAGAGAGAGCACATGAGAGGGGTTAGGGTCTGAGGGAGAAGCAGACCCCCTGCCGAGTAGGGAGCCCGATGTGGGACTCCATCCAGGGACTCCAGGATCATGACCTGAGCCGAAGGTAGTCGCTTAACCAACTGAGCCACCCAGGTGCCCTTTTTCGAGATTTTATTTATTTCTCTGACACACAGAGAAAGAGAGAGAGAGCACAAGTAGGGGGAGCAGGAGAGGGAGAAGCAGGCTCCCCGCTGAGCAGGGAGCCCAATGTGGGCTCCATCCCAGGACCCTGAGATCATGACCTGAGGTGAAGGCAGATGCTTAACCTGACTGAGCCACCCAGGTGTCCCCTGATGTTTGCTTTTTAAAGTGAATGTGAATCCTGGGGCACCTGGGTGACTCAGTCATTAAGCCTATAAAGGAACTAACTACTGACAGACACAATAGGGAAGCGTTTCAAATGTATTGTTCTAAGTAAAGAAGCCCGATTCTAAAGGCCCTGTGCTATTTGAGTTCATCATCCATATGACATTTTGGAAAAAGCAAAACCACAGCGAGAGAACAGACTGGTGGTTTCCTGAGTGTGGAGGAGGGGCTGGCCTCAAAGGACCGGCACCAGGGAGTTTGGGGATGGGACCGAACTAGTCTACATTTTGTTTCTGATGGTGGTTACACCACTGATGCATTTGTCAAGACGCAGAACTCTACACAGAAAAGGGTGAATTTTACTCTCATTAAACCTATTAAAAGAAGGCAATAAAAAAGTATATCATTCTCCTGTTTAAAACCTTACTTTCATTCTATTAGCTCCAGCTGATACTTCTATTTTTCATTTATTCTTTTGACAAATCCTTCTCGAACGCCAGCTCCGTGCCAGGCACTAATTGCTGGATGACAGAGTGGACAGCACTCCCTCTTAGCTTTCAGGCCTTAGCCTATGCTGTTCCAAGGTTGTGCCTCTGCCTGGAAGGCCCTTCCCTTCCCCTCACCTCAGACTCCTCCTTCACCTCCACTCCTCTTTCAGGTCTTCTCTTAGATATCACTTCCTTGGCAGGGGGCTCTGGCAGACCCCCTATTGGGTCACATGCCCAGTCGGTTCCTTGCTCTTCACTCATGCCCTACTCTGGAGGCCAAAAATGGGTCATCCAGAGAGTTTTCTGCTCCATTCCAAGTGCCTCATGCACGGAATCATACAAATGTGCTACTTTTATAGGTCAAAAATGGCCAAGTATTGGCAATTTCATATGGTTTTGCTTAATATTGCGTGTTCAGTGATACTCATCCAGGCAGAGAGACTGCACAGTGGAATGAATCAGCACCCAGACTCTGGGGCCATACGGCCTGGTCTTCAGTACTGTCTTGGCCACCTGCAGCTAAGTGATCTCGGCCAAGGCCAAGTGACTGAACATCTCCGGGGCCTCAAATGTGCCTCCTTTGTGACAGGGAAAACGAAAATAATCACCTCGCAGGGTTGTATGAAAATTGAGTGACTATTTGCAAAGCTCCCGGGAACTTTGGCACATGGTAGATGTGTTTGCTGAAGGACGACCGAGCCTTTACCAGAGGTCGTGGGAGCACAGAGGAAGAAATGACTAAGTGTCTGTGAGGACGGGGGAGGTAATTTTTGTGGCCTTGAAGGATGAGTAGTGTTTGCCAGGCAGAGTTATGAGGTGATGTGGGGGAGATATTTCAGGCTGAAAAAGCAGGTGTCCGACACTCGAAAGCAAGAAAATAGAGAAATGCTGTAAGGGCGGGCTTCAGAGGAGCAATGGGATGGCCAGGGGGCAAAAGCCTGAATTATTTAGCTGAGCAATTTGGTCAGATCCTAGGGGCCATCATAGAATTTTAAGCACAAGGCAATTTTTTTTTAAGATTTATTTTTAAGTAATCTCTACATCCAGTGTGGGGCTTGAACTTACAACCCCGAGATCAAGAGTCACACACTCTACTGACTGACTGACTGAGCCAGCCAGGTGCCCCAAGCAAGGAAATTATACAATTATGATTTTGTTCTAGACGGGTCACTTCAGCCACCGACTGGAGACAGGTTGGGAGGCAAAAGGAGACTGATGCAATCGGCCAGACAGAAAGAGAGGAAGCCCTGAACTTGGGCAGGAACCGTAGGAATAGCAAGCAGGGACAAAAGCGAGAGCTGCTTCTAAGGCAGGATCCGCCAGAATGAGCAGCTCATGAGATGTAGAAGCCTTGGGTTTCTGCTAATGGGTAGCTGCAACATGCCACAAGGCACCATTCAGAGTGGAGGGTGGGGGCAGCAGAAGGCAGCAACCTGCATGCATCTGGGGTGCTGGCTGTGGGCTCCACACTTCTCTTGGGCTCTCTCATCTGAAACTCACCACAGATTACTCCCATCTCACAAGCACAGAAACCGAATGTCAAGGAGTTTCGTGCACCGTGATGAAGCTGATAAGCAGCAGAGTTGGGGGGCGGGGGGAGAGACTTCAGCTTTGCAGATGTTAAGGTTGAGATGTCAACAGGAAAATTGTGCGTGGATCCTGACGTTCGGAGAGACAGTGGGCAAGAAACGGGGATTTTGGAGCCCCCAGCAGACATGGGTGATGACTAAGCACAGCGCGGGTAAGGTTACCAGGTCAGGTAGGAAGAGGAGGGCTCTGGGAAGCACCAGCATTTAAAAAGAGAAGCAGCACCAGGAGGGAGTGGGTGTCTGGAGCCGAGGGTTTCAAGAAGTAGAATTGAGCAGATACAAGCAGGAAGGCTGCAAATGGACATAGTGTTGCCAGAGCATTCTTAGTGCTGTGTGGTGGGGGCAGAAGCCACAGCGTCACGGTCAAGGAGTACATGGGAGGTGAGGAAGTGGAGGTGGTGGGTGTGACCACTCTTCTCAGCAGGACCGAGAAAGCAGGGACCCACCTGAGGAGGTTTTCTAAGAAAATCAGAGGACGGAGGAACATGTTAAACCGTACGGGCGTTCAGCCAACAAAATTCACACCACAGGAAACTATCAGAGGACAACCTAATTTTTCCAACAAATACATTGCAAGGAAAACAAAAGATTAAAAGAATCTTAAAACAGGGGCACCTGGCTGGCTCGGTCGGTAGAGCATGCAACTCTGGATCTTGGAGTGGTGAGTTTGAGCCCCATGTCGGGTGTAGAGATAACCGAAAAATAAAATCTTTAGGGGAGCCTGGGTAGCTCAGTCAGTTAAATGTCTGACTTCCTTTGACTCAGGTCACGATCTTGGGGTCCTGGGATGGAGCCCTGCATTGGGTTCCCTGCTCAGCGGGGAGTCTCCTTCTCCCTCTGCCCCTCCCCCCTACTCGTGCATATTCTCTCTCTCTCTCTCTCTCTCTCTCTCAAATAAGTACAATCTTTTAAAAAAATAAATAAAAAATAAAAGGAATTTTTTTTTAAGACTTATTTATTCGAGAGAGCATGCTCAAGAGCGCAGGTGGGTAGGGGCCGAGGGAGAGGGAAAGAGAGTCTCAAGCAGACACGGGCTCGATCTCACAACCCAGAGATCACACAACCCTGAAATCGTGACCTGAGCCAAAACCAAGAGTCAGACGCTTAACTGACTGAGCCGCCC